CAGAAAAGACTTACTTGTCCGTGGGAATCCAAATGTGCACTTGACCTCCAGCCTTTGCGAGTTCAAACGAACATGTCGATTTCACTGAACAAATATTTGTTGCTAATACAACAGTTTCTGTGTGGGTGGGTTTTTTGATGGCATCACTAAAGTCTAATAATGTCTGTATTTCACTTTATTCCTGAAGGATTCTTCTCTGGATATGGAATTCTATGTTGGCAGTGCCTTCTTTCAGCATATTGAAGATGTCATCCCATGAATTTCTAACTTCCATTGTTTTGACTGAGAATTCAGCTCCCAGTCTGGTGCTCTTTTGAACAGATTAAGTTTTTTGTCTTCTGGTTACTTTTAATATTTTATCATTTTCTTTAACTTTTTGAAATCTCACTCTGATGCTGGATTTTTACATTTCTCTTGCTTAGGATTTTCTGAGCTTATTTGATCTCTGAGCAGATATTTTGCATCACTACTGGGAAGTTCTCGGGCCTAATATTCATGTAATGGAATACTGTAGTATTCATGCAAGAATTCATACAAGAATATGAATAATTCCTAGATTGCCTATTGATTGATTTATACTGATACTCAAAAATAAGCAAAAATATAGTGTGTTAAAACTATAAAACACAACAATAGTTAAATTCTGTAGGAGAAAGGATAACATTTCCCACTAGATGAGGACAAAGGACAGTGCCGTTAGGAGGGTCTTTTGGTGGAGGGAGCTTTCTGACCTGCTTCACACTTACATGGTTTAGTTTAAAATAATTTAAGATACGCATTAATGTTTTATACCTTTTTTGGTATGTGTATTATTTTTCACCAAAACCCCACATCTACCCCCCCCACACACACACATACTCATACAGAGGAAATAACATGGAGGGGGGGGGGTCTGCTTTGGTAAACAGGTGAGGGACAGTCTCTCTGAATATAGAGATTGTTTTTCATAATCTGAAGGGATACATTTAAAAAGTATGCAGTAAACTAATAAACTCAGCAATGCAGAGTGCTGGGTGCCTCGCTGGGAGTGCTGGCACTTTGCAAAGAAACTTGACCTTTATGTGCTGGTGAACTTCCCATGGGAAGTAGAAGAGGGGTCCTAGGTTCTCCTTAGCCAAGTGACCCTCGGGAGGAGTTCTCCTGGTGACAGCTAGATTTGCTGACACAGCATATGCACAGTACAGGACACTTATTTGAGCTGTGAGCTATCCTGGGAGCAGTGGATAGAGTACGGGCTACCTTTTCACCCTTAAATGCTACGCCTACCTCTGAATCACTTCATGGCCACCCGCTCTTCTTCAGCATCGTGGGAGAATGATCTAGGCAGCTGTGCACGCATTGCACAGTCTGGAGAGTCCCAGAAAATTCTCAGGGATGAGTCTCATGATAGAAAAGAATACACAGGTAAAGGCTCCCCAGAGACACTTACACGTTCTTTCTTGGACCTGCACATGTTGTCTGAAAATTTCCTGCTTTCACATCCCCCAAGATGGGGAACTTCTATGGAGTCAGCTAGTCCCAGTCACCCAGACGTGTGTCGTTCCCTTGCCTGAGGGAAAACCGACAGGCCGCTCTGACCTGACTGTTCCTTCAGCCCTGATCTAGAAGGCACTGTTCTTCCCCCGCGGATCACTAGTGTAAGGCCAGTGGGTATTCGGAAAACCCAGGAGCCCAAGGCCGTTGGTGCTGCGCTGGAACGTAACTGGGGTTCCTCACTGTGCTGACCTCCTCACGTGGAGGATCCGCCCAAGCTGAGGTCTCTTTCCTCCCAACCCTACTCACCGCTGGCCCCAGTGACCTACTCAAAAGATCATACTGTGAGAACATCTCAGTTACCAGTGAACCTCAGGGACATTTTGCCATATTGCCTGTGCAGAGTAGATCTGTTTCTTTTAAACATAATGATAACTGGTTGGAAAGTGTATTTCCCTTCAAGAAATATCACTTGTATTGTTTTACATGATAATGTTGGAGTCCTAGCCCGTAATCAAAATATCTTCTAATCACACACATAAAGACATCATTGAGTAGCCACCCAGTCACCCTCAGAGTTGAGATAAAACCCTGGCCTGCTTTTCTGGACAAATTGTAGCTCTGGAACGCTGTGATCCTGAATAAAGGGACCACACAGACCTACATAAAGTCCAGAGTGATAGCAAAAGGGATTCATTCCTGAATACCTTTAGGTCATGGCTCTGAAATTTATTCTGTAAGAATTATTCAGGGTGCCCCGGTGGCGGGGTGGGGTGGGGGACTGAGAAAAGGAACAGAGGGGAGTCCACTTAGAAAGTCAGGTATTATGGGATACTAAGGCTGGGTGTGTGAATGTGAGGAGATTTGAGGAGAAAAGTCAATAAAATAGGGATCAAATATAAACAAGGAGTCCAGGTGAATCAGTCTAGTTGCAAGCAGGAAATTTCTGCCTTAGGAGAAGGGGTGTGATAATATCACAGGAGTGTAATTAGGTGAGGAGACAGCTTCTGATGGGGCACAGGCAGAGCACCTTTCTTCCTTCCTTGTGTGCTGCCATTAGCAAAGATTAAATATGGAATTCCTAAAAGGAAAAGAGGGGGGTTCTCAAAAGGTCCAAGAAAGGAAGGTAAAGATGCAAGAGAAGATGTGAAACTTCAGGGCAATGGGAGAGGGAATGGGAAAGATATGTTAGTGACTATGCAAAACACAAAAATCAGTGATGTCATTTGCGTATATGAATACACGTGTGTGAGTGTGTGTGTAATACACGAATATCTAATGGTGTTATTTCAAAGCTTCACCAGGTACTAGGCGCCCCAAGTAAGCCGTTAACTACTTACACCTCTCTTCCTCCTTCCTCCTGGCATGGAAATGCCAGTTAGCTCTTCTGCCATGTAATATGACCCCCAATAGCTCATGGGGAAGATCTCTTCCATACGTCACTCTTGTCCTTCGCTCTTTGGCCATCGTCTGCCTTAGATCTGGACCCCCTGCTGCAGACCTACATTGTGCCCTGGTGCAATCCGCTTCCTTCCAGTTACTGCTTTTCTCGCTGCCATGGCTGTGCCTTCAGCACGGGCACAGATCATGCCCTCAGCTCCCAGCAAGGACAGCAGAGACTGTGCTGCAACTTCTGGTACAACTAGCTGAAGGTGTGGGAATCACGGAAGGAAACCACAGCATACGTAGAATGAGATCCTAGACTCCTGTTTTTAGACTCCTGTGACTCACACCCCTCGAGGGGAATCTTACATTCAGCCACCTCTGCCCCCAGCTGAATACTCAGTCCCACTCGGACTCTGAACACGGAGTCCGTAACACCTGGCCTGGCATCATGTGGGAAGACACCAGCTTACCCCCCTCCAGGAGAAGTAACCTCAAACCTCTCTCCTGACAAAAGTCTAAGCCTCAGCCACCTGGAAACTCCAAGAACGAGGAGGTGCAGTTCTGTCCCGGCTCTCATCTTCTACCCCAGGGCTTGCTGTGTTCCAGGACGCCTGACAGTGGGGGACCACCCCCCTCCTGATGGTCCTCTGTCCATGCCTGCGAGCCTAACCTTTCCCTTCTCTCCCCATTCCCTTAGGCAGGCTCTTTTAAGGCTCAGCCTTCCTCGGGCCTTCTGCATTCCCACTACTTGCCCTCATGTACTCTCCCAGCTTTAATGAGCATCTTGGTGGAGATGGCTCTGAGTCCCACCCCCAGCCCTGACTTTCCCTTGTGTTCCCCCACAGTGTGGTATAAGGAAAAAAGCATAGAACGTGACATTACAACCCCTAAGTGGTATGACTGGAATAAACCAGGTCCAGGACTCACCTAGCCAGTCCCTGTTCTCCTCAGCTTGCCAGAAAGAGAAAGTCCAGAGGCACTGTTTTCCCTTGAAGGACTTGCACTGTGTCCCCACCCCTGGGCTTCCTGGGGCAGCCCAACCTGGCAGATGTATAAATAGGCCCCTGGCAGCTCCCTGCCCTGCCCCGCTCCTTTCCCTCTTCAAAATGGGTAAGTGCCTCCTGCTGGGACTCCCCATCCTGCTCCACTGCTTCAGAGGTGAGTCCCAAGGGTTGCCAGTTGGTGAGACGTGTCCAGGATCCTGGAATGGGTTGGGGTTCCCACTGCAGAGGTCCTCTTATGAGCCATATGGTAACAGAAGCTGTCACTCTTAAGCCATGCCTCTCACCCACAGCCATCATGTCCCCAGCCATCACCAAAGCCTTAGCCTTCCCTCTACCATGCCCACCCGCCCCCTGCCATACTAGGAAAGAGGTGGATTATAAAGGCATTGAGAGGATTTTTGCAGAAGTTGTGAGGTGGGGTTGTAAAATGAAGTCTGCAGAGAGTGTATCTTTTTGTCCAACAGCATTATCTGGTTCATTTGCAGACAAAGAACATGCAAGTGAGTAGAAATGGCTCAGTGGGGTGGGAAGGGGAGAGTCGGAGGCGTGAGACAAAGGGACTGGGTGGGCACTGGGGGTAGAAAAAAACCCAGAGACAGACCTTGAATTTCAACCCTCAGCAACCTTTTGCAGCAGGATGGGGCGGGGCTGGGAGCTGATTTTAATTTGGCAAAATAACGAGCAGCGGTTGACAAGGCTGAGGGCGTGTGCAGTAAGGGGCAAGCCAAAGGGAAGGAGACGGTGGCAGGCTGACTTTACACGTGCCGTACAGTGTAACTGCTGCGTGAAGTTCAGCTGCTTTTCCACACGGTCAGCTTCCAGGCACAGGCAGACAAGAAAAAGCTGCGTCGGGTCAATTATAAAGAAGGAATGATGCAAAAAAAAAAAGAGAAAGCGTATTTATCTTTCTCCTCCTGGTGTGTGCTGCCCCCTGTGGGAATGGGGAGCCCTATAGCAGAGGGGCCTTGCAGGGAGAGAAGAGGTGCAGAGAGGCCGCGAGAGGTGTCACTCCGGTCGCTCTCCTGGCATAGTCTGTTGCCTGCACAGGCAGGTGCCCGTACCTGCTGCGTCTCTGGCAAAGCCCTCGGGCTCCAAGCGGACTTCCGGTTCTTCCGTGCCACGTGGGCCTGTCTCACTTGTGTCCCTGCTCTCTGGCCCAAATGACAGAAATCGTTCAGTGCAGGATGTGCCACCTCCAGTTCCCGGGAGAGGAGTGTTCCAGGGGCAGAGGAATATGCGCTGCAGCAAAAGAGGAGGCTTGCACCACTGGAAGGATTTTCAAAAGTAAGTTGGGGGCTGGGGGACGGAGGAAGGGGAGAGAAGCAGATGGGGACGTGTCAGCCACAGTGAAAAAGGAGGGACCTTACTTCACTACAGGCAGCCTCAGCCCTGGGACGACTGACATCTCTATGCTCATCATAGGCCATAATGAAAACTAACGGAAGTGGGCACTAAGGTGCGGGTCTGCAGCAATGGAACCTATTTTGAAAAGCCTGCTGACAACAGGGGAGGCTGAATTGAGGGGAGAGGAGAGGCACAATGTGGCCCGTGGAAAACAGCTGCTTGTTGGATGGGGAGGCAGCTCCTTGTCTGTCCCTGCCTGGACTTCCATGTGGGTGGCTTTAAACTGCAGACGGAGGGGCACGTGTCAGCACAGATACCGGTAAATGGCCCTGTCTCTTCTCTGACCTTTGGTGCTAAGCAAACCCTTGGCCTTTATCACCCTTAACTTAAACCAGCATTAGGATTCTCGATTGAGGCCTCCAGCTCTGGCCAGCCCTGAAACTGCTGCTATCATTACCTCCCCACCCCTCAAAATGTTTTAAAAACTCTTCCACCGTTGCTTTTCTTTGGGGAAGTTTCTGACTTGCAGTATCTTCCAGTTCTTCACATTTGAATAACAGAACCTGCAAATCTGCCAAGTTGTTCATCCTGTGCTGGTAATGGGCTGGAAAGAGGTGATTTTTGCAGAAGCTTCTTTGCTGATGAGTATCTACTCCATTCTGCAGATGACGGTACCCCCTGGCTGACCTTCATGGGCTGCCTGAAGAACTGTGCGAATGTGAACCGCATTAAATGGAGTGCCTACCTGGTGGACTTCAGGTGCTGCAGGGGCTCTGACCTGTGCAACGAGGACCTCTAGAATATACTGGCCCTCAGGTGCCTCCAACCTCTGGCGTGACATTATTGCCTTGGCCACTTCACAGTGATTTCCTCCAAATGCACATTTCAGATTGCAAACACATGGCTCTGCCTTCTGTGTGTGTGAGAAAAGCCCTCTCTTTTCCTAGATTCTCTGTCTTGAGCCCTGGGTTTGAGGTTTGGGGGGAACACCTTGAGAGCAAGGTCAACATACTGCACAGGCTGTGGCAGAACCTAGTGCTTTCACGGTGTACCTGAGTTGCTTCAGAAAAGGGAGAAGAGGGTAGGTCGGTGTTTTTTCCTGCTCTTCCCTTCCTTCTATGGCAGGGTGTTTTCATATTTTTTGAATGTTTTTCTCTTTTGGTATTGTCCTTCTTATCCCACTCCTGTTAAAGCACAGAGCCCTGGCCTCATGGGGAGGGTATGCAAGGTGAAAAGAGAGGGCACAAGTCTTCTTGATTTTGTTCACGAATGCTCTTCCTAGAGTGAGGGGAAGGGTAGAATGTAGAAAGGAATTTGCCCCAGAATCAGGAAGAGAGAAAGGTCTGCTGCCTTCTAGAATGAGACTCTCTGCGGGGCTGGGGCTTGGAGAAGGGGAGGAGGCATCTGCGGCATTCCAGAGACAGACCTTGCAGCCTGCTTCCCCGGCGAAGCACAGGAAGGCATCAACCTCTAGGATGCTTCCTAGGAGGAGCTGCAGGAGATGAGACCAGCAGCAGCCACACAGATGCCTGAAGCACGGCGTGGAAGGAGCCCAGATGTGTGGGACTGAGGGGGCCACATGGGTCTGGACACTGGACGTCTCAATAGCAACCCTTGTGGAGAGCCATCGCCATGACAGATGCCACCCCCCACCTCCGTCCACACACCTTCAGGCCTCCCACTGGTGTAATTCTAGCACCCTGGGGACAAACAGAGGTTGGAACCAGCATGCTTACAAGGACTGAGGCTGATTCCCAACAAACTGGTAGGATGAGGCCTGGGAGGGGGGATTAATTGATGTTATAAAAAGCATCATAAAGAAAGTTCCAAGTAAGTTTCAAAATAGATCAAAGACCCGAATGTAAGTCGTGAAACCATAAAACTCTTAGGAGAAAACATAGGCAAAAATCTCTATAGTATAAACATGAGCAACTTTTTCCTGAACGCATTTCCTAGGTCAAGGGAAACAAAATAAAAAATGAATAAATGGGGCTACATCAAGCTAAAAAGCTTCTGTACAGCAAAGGACACCATCAGCAGAACAAAAAGACCTCCTACAGTACGGGAGAATATATTTGTAAATGACAGATCCGACAAGGGGTTAACATCCAAAGTATATAAAGAACTCACACACCTCAACACCCAAAAAGCAAATAACCCTATTAAAAAATAGGCAGAGGATATGAACAGACACTTATACAAAGAAGAAATTCAGATGGCTAACAGGCACATGAAAAGTTGCTCCACATCAGTAATTATCAGGGAAATGCAAATTAAAACCACAGTGAGATATCACCTCACACCAGTTAGGATGGCCAACATAGAAAAGACTAGGAACAACAAATGCTGGCGAGGATGCAGAGAAAGCGGGAACCCTCCTACACTGCTGATGGGAATGTAAACTAGTTCAACCATTGTGGAAAGCAATATGGAGGTTCCTAAAAAACTAAAAATAGAAATACCATTTGGCCTGGGAATTCCACTCCTAGGAATTTACCCAAAGAATACAACTTCTCAGATTCAAAAAGACAGATGCACCCCTATGTTTATTGCAGCACTATTTACAGTAGCCAAGATAGGGAAGCAACCTAAGTGTCCATCAGTAGATGAATGGATAAAGAAGATGTGGTACATATTCACAATGGAATATTATTCAGCCATAAGAAGAAAACAGATCCTACCATTTGCAACAACATGGATGGAGCTAGAGGGTATTATGCTCAGTGAAATAACCCAGGCAGAGAAAGACAAGTACCAAATGATTTCCCTCATTTGTGGAGTATTACAACGAAGCAAAACTGAAGGAACAAAATAGCAGCAGACTCACAGACTCCAAGAAGGGACTAGTGATTACCAAAGGGGAGGGGTGAGGAAGGGCGGGTGGGGAGGGAGGGAGAAGGGGATTGTGGGATATCATGATGGATGCACATGGTGTGTGTGGGGTCATGGGGAAAACAGTGTAGCTCAGAGAAGACGAACAGGGACTCTGTGGCATCTTACTAGTCCCCCCTGGGTGGGAGGGCAACAATAATCCTCAATGTCTTACTTATCAGAACCTATTTTATGACAAAATATTATGTGTTTTATGCAGCTATAGAATATTTTCTTATTCTTCCTTGGACTCTTTCAGATTATTCTAGTATTTATTTCACTTTACCACCTCTATTAGCTTTTTAATTATACATCCTTTAATATTTTCAGTAGTTATGCACATTTGACTTTTTACAGTCTACCTTAAATCCGTATGTTTACCACCTTATTAGCTATACAAGAATCTTACACAAATTCGACTCCATTTACTTCCCTTTGCTCCTCGTGCTATTATCATTGTGTTGTTGTTTAGTGTGGTAAAATATACATGACATAAATTTACCATTTTAACCATTTTTAAATATACAGTGGCATTAAGTAAATTCACATTGTGTTACTACCACCACCATCACCTCCAGAACCCTTGTCTTTATGCAAACTGAAACTCTGTTCCCCTCAAACCCTGCTCCCCATCCCCTGGCCACCACTGGTCGACTTTGTTTCTGTGAGCTTGGTCACATTAGAAACCTTATGTAAGGGCAATCATCCAGAATTTTCCTTAATTTCACCTATGATGTCGTCAAGTTTCATTTATGTTGTAGAATGTGCCACAATTTCCTTCCTTTTTAATGTTAAATATCCTATTGTGTGTACAAACCACATTTTGTTTATCCATTCTTCCATTGATGGGCAGCTTGGTTGCTACCACCTTTTGGCTGTGCAAATAATGCTGCTATGAACGTAAGTGTACCAACATCTGTTCAAGTCCCTGCTCTTCATTCCTTTGACCCCGAAGTGGAATTGTTAGATCAGATATGTTTAATTTTTTGAGGAACTGACATACTGTTTTTCCACAGTGTTTTTACATTCCCACCCAAAGTGTAGTAGGGTTCCAATTTCTCCATATCCTCATCACACTCGTTATTTTCTGTTTTTATGACAGTAGCCATCCTAATGGGTGCGAAGTGGTACCTCATTGTGGTTTTCATTGGCATTTCCCTAATGATGAGTGATGTGAGCATCTTTCCATGTGCTCACTGGAAATTTGATGTCTTCTTTGGAGAAATGTTTATTCAAGTCCTTTTGCCCATTTGTTTAATTAACTGGTTTTTTGTTGTTGTTGCTGTGTTGTAGGAGTTCTCCATATATTCTGAATATTACCCCTCCTAGGTAATGGTTTCCCATTCCATGAGTTGCCTTTTCACTTCGTTGATTCTGTCCTTTAATGCACAGTTTTTAATCTTGATGTAATCCAATTTATATACTTTTTCTTTGGTTGCCTATACTTTTGATATCATAGCCAAGAAATAATTCCCAAATTCAATGTCATAAAGTTTCCCCCTGTTTTCTTCTCAGAGTTTTATAGTTTGGTTTCTTACATTTATGTCTTTGATCCATACTGAGGTAATTTTTGTGTATGGCATAAGGTAGGGGTCCAACTTCGTACTTTTATGTGTGGATACCCAGTTTCCATAACACCATTTTTTTTGTTTTGAAAACTTTTTCCCCTTTTTTAAAGAATTGAGGCACAATTTACATACAATATTATATTAGTTTCAGGTGTACAATAACATGATTTGATATTTGTATATATTGCCAAATGATTACCACAAAAGTCCAGTCAACATTCTAGCACCATTTATTGAAAGTACTATTCTTTCTCCAATTAAATGGTCTTAGCATTTATTTCTTCAAAAATCATTTGACCGCTTATGCAAACGTTCATTTCTGGGCTCTTTATTCTATTACATTGGTCTATCTGTCTATTGTCATGCTTGTATCATACTGTTTTGATTACTGTAGTTTTGTAGTAAGTTTTGAAATCAGGAAGTGTGAGACCCCCAGCATTGTTCATGATTTACAATATTGCTTTGGCTATTTGAGATCCCTTGAAATTCCATATGAATTTTAGGATGGCTTTTTCTATTTCTAAAAAAAGTGAAAACCCACATAATTAATAATAGCAACAAGAGAGATGATACCACAGATTCTACAATGACTAAAAGGATAATAAGGAATACTGTGAATACTTTTCTGTCAACAATTTTGGAAGTCTAGTGAAATGGACAAACCCCGTGAGACAGTCAAAATGATTTCAAGAAAAAATAAATAATGTAAATAGTCTTAAACCTATCAGAAAAAAATTGAATCCATAGTTTAAAACTCTCCATCAAATAAAGTCTATGCCCACATGGCTTTACTGATGAAATCTATCAAACACATCAGGAAGAAATTATTCCACTTCCACTGTTCCAGAAAATGGAGTAGAGGACACTTTTCAATGCACTGTATGAGGCCACCATGACACTGTACCGAAGGCAGACAGAAACATGATTTTTTTAAAATTGGAAATTACAGACCAATACCCTTCATGAAAATAGGTGAAATCTAGAACAAAATATTGGCATATTGAAGTTAGCGTTTTATAACAAGGATAATACATCATGACAAGTGAGGTTTACCCTGGGAATGCAAGACTTGTTCAATATTCAAAAATCAACCCATATAGCTATCATATCAACAGAGTAAAGAAGAAAAACCACAATCATCGCAATAGATGCAGAAAAAAAATTGATAAAAATTCTGGCAAAAAAAAGGAATTTTCTTAGTTTTATAAAATACAAACTATAAGAAAACTATAGCAAATATCACATTTAATAGTGAAAAATTCAGTGCTCTTCCCCTTAGACCAGGAAAAAGCTACTACTTGCATTTAAGTCATTCTAGAAGTCCTTAGCAGTGCAACAAGGAAAAATAAAACCATAAAAGGCAAACAGTTTGGAAAGGAACAAATAACAGATTACATGATTTTCTATGAGGGTGGAGGTGGACCACAGGAGCTTTCCTCGCTTCATCTGTTGACGGAGTTGAAAGGGAAGTAATTTAAAATCTTTTCATCTCTATATGACAATCAGCACAGTGATTTCCAAGATTTGCTACCTCTTGGCCCCTCACACCAATATTTTAACTTTCTCCTAAAACATTAGTTTTTATATCCTGCTCAATTTCATTTCTACTGACAGTTTACTTCTCAGAATGGAACTTTTTTTGTGGAATGAATTTTAGCGGCAGATTTCTGTATTTCTGAGATCTTCAAGGGTTTAGGCCACCCTAGTAGGCTCTGATATTCTGTATGGCACTTCCCTTTGCTATATTAGTTGTTCTGCCTTTTCTAAGAGGATTTGTGGAGGATCATACACTATGCTGCTGTCTCCAACTCATCCCAACTGAAAGACCATGGTCCTACCTTGATTTTAAAGCTTTGTTTCAAAATATTAAAGTATTCAATGTATTTGATATATTTGGTACCTTAAAACATCAAGGTATTGAAGCTCTGCTTTAAAATATCAAGGCTTTTAAATAAACCAAGGCAGGTACCTTCAGCCTCCTGACTCACAGCCTCTTCCCAGTTGCAGCTTCTCAGATGCTTCCTGGGGCTGCATCCTATGCCCGAGGACCACGGGGCAGCTTTCCCTGACCCACTGAGTCTGCACTACAGCTACAACCAAATACACAGGTATCCCTCACTTTTTAAATGTTGGCGTTGTGCCACTTCATTTTTACAAAAC